TGTTTCTCATACGGTTCCCGAACGTTAAAGTTAGAATCTGGCGTGGTGAACTATCACAGTGTCTCTCCGACACTTCAATTTTGGAAACAATATCGAAGCTTGTGCCAACCATGATGTGACCAGCACTGCTTTCGAATTAGCTTACCGCACGATTGTTGTTGAAAATACAATTACTTGCTTTTCGATTTGTGATATTCATCGCTTGAGATCATTCATATGTTTATGATTTCATGGCTGGGGAATCATATTTAATCAGTTCTGCTGGAACTGCTTTGGCTGCTGCGGTGCTGATTTAATTGTTTTAAATGACGTAGGAACGAGTTTTGCGCAGAGAGGATGGCTTCAATCATTGCATAAAGCTATGCTAACACGGCTCTTGACGTTTGGAGCTGCTCAGCTTTGTATAAGGTGGACTTGCGATGCATTTTCCAAAAGATATCTCAGTGATGTAATGTTCTGGACTGCTAACTCAGTTAGGCCGTAGCCAAAACAAACGATTGTGCAAATCTAGTTGCATACCAGGAAGAGGCAGATGCGCTCTAAGGGCAAGACAAGCATGACTATATTGCATCTCGCACTGTGCTCACGGTGCCACACTTTCTTATAACCGGTCAAGCTTAGCAGAAGGATAGCTAGGTAGGTCAGACACCATGTAGCACGACTGCTATTGCAATCAAACATGTCGACGTGTTTGCTCCTGTGGTAAGGCTTCATCGTAAAGAGCATTAATTTCACAGAGAACTCTATCTGCAAAAGATTCTTGGAAAACTGTCACGAGCGCTGGTATACTGTCTGCACGAAACCCACGTGGAGCAGCATTTTTTCGGGTGGATTACTGGTATTAATTTATTGTGTACTTTGATTGCTGTTGTATTTTTCCGTTTTTATGAATGAAACATGTATCTAATCTCCATCCATATATTAACAAACCTTTTTGTCAAACAAAAACCGTCTTTCAAAAGTAATTATTAAGCTCGAACTGAACTTCTATGTGATGAGCCAACTTTAGACACCGACCCGCGATGCAAACGATCCTTCAACTGCAACCTTACAATTTGTCTGCTGATGCAGTGATTTGAAGATGGGACGATTCTCGTCCTACGCACCATTTACGTGCTCGTTTGGCTTGCTAAGGGTGTATTTCACAATATTTGACCTACGCTTAGTTTGAAGTGTCTTCTTCTTACCAGAAAGAATCATGCACGACCAGGCCCAGATCTCGGACAGAGTTTGGACCGATACTAGGGTTGTAACGGGATTACACGCACCCTTGTATGAAAGAGCGGGTCACACAAGATGGTTTGACCGATTACACAAGTTGGTGTAATCACACAATGGTGTGGCTACATCATAACAAGAAGCCACTTTGTGGCAGGGCTGCGAGTAGTAATGCATTTTAATTATATTTCAATTGAGTTTTACTACAATAATTAAAAAACCTCTGGTTTTAGATATTGGCGGCTCTGCTGCAATGGAAACAATAAAATACAGTTTCAATTTCGAACGAAAGTGCGTCTTTACCTTGGTTAAGGTCGTGAGTACTCTCCGAGGTAGCGGATTGCGATCCGCTACACTCGTACTGGTTCCTATAATAAACGTAAGATCGGTGACCTTAGCTTAGCTTCCTTTAAGCAAAGAGCTACGGCAGCCCCGCTGCAAGGGTGCTATCCATTTAGTATCGCACCCAGGGTAATGTACTCTTACTCGATTGCGATACTCCACCAACATACCAGCTGATATGCCTTTCAGCTTTGCCTTATGTTCAAGGGACAAAAAGACTAACGTGTAAGTACATCATATTAAGGTACCTATCCCGTAACTCGGTCAGCCGCAAGACGTAATTCCGTTGGGTTTACAATTAACGTTTTGTCCCGTGATTCTATCAAATGTGAGCTCTACGAGCACAAACCAAGTCAAACATTATTTCTTCAGCTGTATCCTTAAATTTGCAGCTCGAGCAGTTGCAACTATGGCAGTCGTGATAAAGGCCTAATTCGATGAATCAAACGTTATCCTTTCGATTGAAAGCAGTCTGAGTGAGCCATCAAGGCCAGACACACCCGATGTGTCTTTCCAAATTTCACGACGCTTTGCCGTGCTCCTTATGATTGAAGTACCCCCAGGAAAGAAACAACCTTAGAGTTCCGATGCTCTTTCGTGTCAGCTGCAAACACCATGCATTACATAAGGCATAGGGAAGAAAGAGTTATCGCTACGGATATGGCGATGAGATTCGCGTCGTTACAAATGAGCAGGACATAGCTGAAAATTGGTAACGTTTTTGTCAACACGCACCTAAATCAACGCGACTTTCGATTAAGTTTCTAATAGCGATCACGTCAAGATTATGAGTTTGATCAACCCGATCCAACAGGACCCGCTTGTCGCGCCGCAAAACGTCCATTGATCATGTGTATGCGTAGGGTTGCAGTTCAGGTTTGGAGCAAAAAACGTTCGTGAACTTCGATCTGAGGGTGTGTTGTGACTCTTTAGGCCACAAGGTCATCAGGAGTATTGTTACAGCCAAGTCAGCGACACGAAGTCAGTCAATGTCTGCTTCAATGCTGCGACTAGGCAACAATTGCGGATATCATTCGAAGATTGGATGACGAAGTCTTTTCGTCTTGCCTATTTTGCCTGGCCGAGGCTGGTTTCAGCAGAAATGCTGTTCACCACAAACCTCAATTACAGCTTGCTATTGTGATCTTGAAACGCGGCGTCGGCGTCGCGGCGGGCTCTCGCCATCACCTCCAGCTCGTGTCGATGTTTGTACTCATGATTATACCGACATAAATACCGCAATGTTGCGAGCTAGCGCAAGAATGCGATTTCTATCTTGTGGAAATACGAGGCGCCGCACAACCCAGTCGAATTGATTTCACAAGGTGGGCCGATATTGCAATTGTCAGCGACGCCAGAATTGTTTTGCTGGTATATCAGCTTAAATTCTCAGGAGAAAACCAGTAAAAGAAGATCTTTACTCTATCGATTCTGTTTTTTTTCAAGTACTCACCCCACAAACCTATTCATGCTTTGCCTTGCTCATCAAGCAGTACCGGTGCAGACGGCTGTCGCATGGCCTGCTCCTTGGTGGCTTCCAAACGCGTAGACCTCTTCGAGAGACTTATCGTGCATCCGTAGGAACATCCGTCCTTTGTTGAACGCCCTCCTACATACCCACATTAGTACTAATTGACCCCAGGCACCTAAGTGGCTCATCACTGATTCGATGTCCTGACAGGGGATCAGCTAAAGTATGTTAAGTCGCTACTTTATCTCAAACAGTTCCGAGGTCCGTATTGAGGTAGGATAATGCGATATGGTTTGAGTAGGCAAACAAAGAACACGTGATGTTCTCGCATCCGCTTAAGAGGTAAAAAAGTGTGGCTAAAGTATATATATGGTTGCGACCGTATGGTGTCTAGTATAGCGAGAAGGCAAACAAATTTGGCATTTTCCAAGCATATGCAAGCAAATTGTCCTCAATATATTTGGCGCTGATCCAAACATTTTCATTACCGACCATCGAGAGATTGATGCCAGGCAGAGCGAGCTAGTCATGCCCCACTGAAGCTTATGTGCAGAGAAGTCGCAGGAGTGTGAAATTGCAAATTTAATTAAAGCTTTAATGCCTCTGCAGATCTCGCTTATTTTTTTGCAAATTTGTGTATTGCCTGACGCTTTCGTAAAATGATTCTGGTTAGGTGTAGGAGGAGATGTCAATACTAAGCGACATGCTGATATCAGCCAGGTTACAAGTCGTGTTAAAATCAGTTAATTTATTTCGAAAGTTTGTACGTCAGTCCCCAAGACCGTGGCAACAATATCTAATCGCAATATGTAAATGTCAAATGCTTTAGAACTTTGACATCATTTTAGCAAAAATGATGTACATTTAAAAAATTCTCACGAACAGTCTGCAGACACGTGCGGTCTATGTATAATTTTGAGCTGATTTCCACAGAAAAAGAATGCTAGCAAAAAGCACTCACCGTCAAAACAGCTCGACTGTATCTCTGCCGGTAACGGTGTCGCTGACAGAAAATTGAAGGGGAAAATGTCATTTTCTTGGAGTACAAATACTAAATTTTCTGTATCACCGAAAATATGCCAGATAGGCCAATAATGAGATTCAACCATTGCGAATGATGAGCTCAGCCCCTCTTCTGGTATCCAAAGTGCCTTATCTGTTACTCAATTGTTGTGCAATTTGTCGCACATATTTCCCCGGAATACTGTCTCAAAAGTATATGCGGCTATAAAAATATTGCGGGTAAACAACAGCATCGAGGACATCTTCAATCACTTTCTTTCCACGTTTATAAAAATCATGCTCATGTCATACCCGTGGAGCTTTTCCACCCTGTATAGCGGACCCGACACACAAAAATATTTGACTCAGCAGTCCGACGACCTGACAAGGATGAACCACTCTTTCAACTTCAAACCTGCCCCTGCTATGACTTTATCGGCTCTGGTACGTTAAAGCGCGAAATAAGTCGGTTCCACTCTTCACCGGCCTTGGCTCAGAGGACAATAGCTCCTGACTGTTTTACTATTTCACAAGCGATGCAAGCATGGAGCCACAAACCAGCCAGTCAATCTCGTTTCGACAGAGATATACTTTGAGGAACCCAACTCACTGCCTCCTGTGCGCTCCAAGCTATACTCAAGGCACTTAAAAGTGTGATTGCTATCTGCTATTAGCTCAAAGAATTTTCAATTCCTTTTCCGCGTCGATTGATCTGCAGTTTCTGGTACTGGTAGAATCGTGACTCACCCCTGTCGCTTCACCGGGCGAGAAGCGCGTGGTCATAGCTGGTGGCGATCCAGCCACGCCACGGAAGGCATGAGCCAGTATCCTGACTGCTCTAGATACTTAAGAATAACCTTGAAGTCTTAACAGTGTCCCATCGCAAGACGCATGCATATCGATTTTATGCCTGGAGTCTTCAAAGCCTCCGCGTACTGCTTGCTCTGCTAATTCATAAGCAAACATATTATGGATGCATTGAGTTCGACTGAAGCTTAATATATTTGCTTTCTTTTTTCTGATCAAAGCGTCTTTTGGACGTGCGGCTCGCGGCCCACTTTGCCTCCGACCAACCTTTCAAAGATTTTAAATTTTCAATAATTTTGATATTTTGGTGTTATGAACATTCACAACCACATCAATTAAAACGTGAATTTGCATAATTTTAGCGTATCGACTTGATACCATTACATAAATTTGTAGGGGTTTTGTACACAACATTAAAAATATATTAGTTCTATTACAGTTTCATCGGCAAGGGTAATTCGCGCGTTACACAACATTTTTCTCAACGTTGCAGGTCGATATCCTGACACACTTTGATCTAGAGACAGCAAATTTGGTGGGTCACTTATCACCATGTCGTGGTATAGCAACAAACCGGATAAAATAAAGTTTACGATTAAGCTGGAAAATAGACTCCACATGGGGCTACCGTTTTCAGCCTTTGTGTACCTCTTCGAAACAACGAACGACGAAGCGATTAAAGCGTCTTATGGATCCAAATAAGATATCTAGATCCATTCAATAGTTGATAAGGTCTATTTCAAACTCACTGGCGGGTCGACGACAAGTTCGCTGGTGACACTCTTGCACAGAGGTGAATATCAACTTGTAAGACGCGCTGGAAATTCATTGGGGTTGAGCTCAACGATTGCCCATGGAACATGAACCAACATAACCATAGGCACCAAGTTCTTAATACAGCTCAATTTGAGGAGCTATGAATTCAGGATTAAATATATCTCGCTATTTTTAAACGGCTTTTTCATCTAGGATCCCAAATAAATGCGACAGCAGCTCCCTTATATTTAACAAACTAATATCATTGCTATATCATCGAACGTCATAAAAAACTATGTTGGTGCGCGTGAGACTAGCAGCGAAAGCTCATATGTACTGACTGTAACGTTGTTTGTTTGATATTAATGGAACAGCCAGCATACGTGCAGAGGACCGAAAGCCAGACCCCCGAGGGCCTTTACGGATGCGTCGAGTCGATAATGTTGAATGTATGACTTTGACTAGGTTTTTCTACTAGGCAAATCAAATGAGGCGCAAAAATTAGGACCCATTAGATCAGGCGTAGGTGCGCGGCTCTGTGGGACCGCATGTCTTTGCGTTTATCGTGTAGTGTGCATGTAGAATCCAGCCAAAACTTCTTGAATATTATTCTTTTTTCACTTCTACCTTCGTCAGCACAAGTGCCCGACTAATAGGTTTTACCTCCAACGGACAACGCAGCTACGGAGCCCCCCTCGCCCCTTTCGTGGGCGAGGAGCTACACGAAGAGAAAGTCGCACCGGACCTTGGAGGACTCGTGAAGCTGATGACAAAGATCATGGCCAAGGTCATCAGCTTCGAAGGCTCGCTTGGGATGCAACAGCAGGGCGTACCGATTAAGCCGCCTAGACATGAGGCCGGACTTGGTCAAAGCGTGTACCGTCAGGCATTGCAGCAAGGAGGCAGCCTGGGTATACATCGCATGCAAATGCATGAGATCGGCGCTAGAAATTCGGCATGGGTGCGCAGACGCCAGGCGTACATTGTGGACTTAGCAATGAGCATCAAGAGCGAGGTGCACCATCAATGCCTTATGGACTGGCTCCACCACCGCTGCAGCTGCACAGTATCAAGCGTACCACACGCCGCTGCATCTCAGCGAAAGAGTACCGCCGGCCTAGGATGCGAAGATCTACATGCATAATTTCGACGGCAGTGAGTCTACAAGGGACTTGGGAGCGGATTCAAGCAGTGGGCGCTGCTTTTTTTCGAGCAGATCGAGATGGCGGAGCAGGCGTGTGGCTAGCCTGGCCGGAACGATACAAGGTGAACAATTTCGGTCAGCATCTACGTGGTAAAGACGAGCTCTTCTACCATCAATTCATCATATGCTGGTGGGCTACACAGTCAATGCTTTGGTTCGTGATGGACCAAATGCACTTGTCGTTCAAGAGGACGCTCTCGACGAAACAGGGAGTGAAGCTGTTCGGAGCCTAGAGGGACCCACTGCGATCGTGGAATGAGCACTTTCTGTAGTTGAACGCTCTCATGATGGCAACAAACGCGTCGCCTGCATTGATACTTGAGAACATCGTCAAGTACTTGTTCTCAGCACAAACCATACATGGATTCCTCTTCCGGCAGAGGCTGATATGGCCAAGCTACTTCAGCGTGCGACGACACCGGTGGAACCGACGGTTACTAACTCAATCACTATTGGGAATTTTGCTGTGGATCGTGAGATTCACGCACCCGGGCATCATGTTCGCTGAACATTAAGCGACACGTCGAGCGCATGCGCCAACGATGGCGGGCTGGAAGCTCGCTAAGCGTATCTTTCGGTACTTTAGTGGCACCCGATCGCGCCAGCTCTGCAAGACAAGACCAAGAGACTACCGCTGCGGCTGCGCTCATACACTGACGCTATCTTTGCGGCTGACAAGGACGACAGGAAGTCTTTGAGTGCGGCGGTCGTCCAAGTGAACGGTACGACGGCATCATGGTGGCAGTGAAAGAAGCAGAGTTCTGTGGCACTATCGATAACAGAGGTGGAGTGCGTCGCTGCAACGGAGGACACACAAGAGCTACTCGAAGTGAAAGAGCTACTGGGTGAGCTGAACATCGCCATCAGGTTGCCTATGGACATACCGATAGACAAAAAGCGGCTATCGTGCAAGTGCAGAGCAAAACGAGCTCGGCCAACGCAAAGCACGTAGACGTCAAGCTAAAGTTCATCCAAGTCTGTGTCAAGAAGGGTGTCGTGGTGTTTGAGTATGTTGCTAGCGTTGAAATGCTCGCGGACCTGCTGACGAATTCGCTGCTGGCGCCACGAATGAAGGAGCTACGAGAAACGATCGTACTCGTCGACATCGAGTGATTCAAGAACTCCGAGGCTCTAGGGAAGAGTGTTGGGTATTAATGAGATAGTCAGCATACGTGCAGGTGACCGAAAGGTGGGTCTTTACGGATGCGTCGAGTCGACAATGCCGAAGGTACGATTTTGACTAGGTTTCGCGATTGAGACCAATCGAATGAGGCGTAGACATATAGATCAATCAGATCGGGCGTAGGCGCGTGTCTTTGAGGGGGCGCGTTTATTGCGGTTAATGTGTAGTGTGCATGTAGAATTCAGCTAATATATTCCTCACTTTTCACTTCTACCCTCGTCAGAAGTGCCCGACCAATATTGTTACCGTGCATCCAGCGCGTAGCAAACTTTCGCGCAAAGAGTTCGCTTTAAGAGATGAATGGAGGCTGGTTCTTACGCTTCGATCAGAAGCACCGAGGCGTTTAAGGTACCGAATTCCTTCATTTGTTGCAATTTCATGAGTGGCATACAGCAAGGTTCACTTCCATCTAGATTACGTTTAACTATTTCTCATATAGTCATTATCTAGAATGTGCGTGTCTAGCAGCCAATATTTACCACCGACTTTTCAACAATCTCACGGTACTCCGTAGCCCTTTAATTCTGAAAGAGGAAATTTACGTAAAATTTGTCCTGATTTAATGTCATTTTGCTACCTTCTATACAAAAGGAATAAAAAAATCAAGTATAATGCTCCAAACCGATCCGGTCACCTGCCATAGGTATAAATAAAATCAATATACATAAAATAAGTTTTACGTATTATCTTTACATTTGAGACGCATTCACTTGGAAGGTAAGTGCATATTCGTTAATATGTTTACGACCTACGTTCAATTAGTTAACTAAGCCCTTCCTTATCCACTCGCAACAAGACAAATGACAACTCGCTCTTCTCCAATCCACCCAGACGTTGTTGGCTCATACAAAGTACATTGCACCTTTCATGCTATCGTGCAGATTGTACATGCGCATATCCGTTTCCGCTGAAGACACATCAAGGCCTGAAACGGTCGAGGCAGTGTCACTGCCTTCAGCCAAGAAAAAACGAGCACGAAAAGCAACGAGATGCGAATAATATGCAGACGGGACCATCGACACGGAACGAGTGCAACGGGCAAATGTATAGCATAATTTGTAAGTGAGGATTTGCAGCTCATCAGCTGTAAAGCCAATTTCATTCAACAGCACGTGGTAGTGAGTGGGACGACTGGTTCCTTGCAGTCCACCGTGGCTCATCAAGTAAAAATCATTCTCGATTGGGTGGCAAATTCCAGTCTCCACAACTGTCCCTGCCTTTACATTGCCGCTCCGATCAGCGTCTTTAGGGTTGTCAGGAAACAGCCGAGTATGGTGGCGCTTTTGCACAATCACGAACGTGATTGGTGGCAGATATCCAACTTCCAAACTCTGACAAGCTGCACGTATAGCTGTCACTTCATGGTTCAAAACCATGCGAAACTGTCCTTCACTGACACCATCGCGATAAAAGACGATTCGATCCGGCTTGCCACGCATCTGCCGGTAAAACTGCTTCATCAGCTCAACAACCATATCCTTTAAATTCTCAATCTGCTCAACGCGATGGCCTTGCACGCGGATCGACGATGCGTGACGAATAAAGTTTGCGTCCATTGATGCCGTCACAGCGGCAATTGACGGTCGAGTTTTATCCATTGGACCTGGATGAGTCACGTCAGCACCAAATATTATTGTATGCGATTCTGATACCCGCGGGAGTGGTCCACTAATCACGCCATTCTTTCCTCCTAGCTTTGTGTTCACCTTCATCAGAATATTGGCGATGTACTGTGGACTGCACTTTGAAATATGCTTAGACAACATGCACTGAGATAGAATACCCATCCCTGTCTCACTGTCAGACATGAGCTTTAGCTCTCCGTAAGCTCGTGCATCCATTCTTGGATTAATCATCCAAATTATCTGAGGTGCAGTACGAAATGTTTGGGTAGCCGCCTTTACTGCAGCCTGGAATAGACCTCGCACTGAATCCTCTCGGCGTTGCTTCATGAGAACTGGTGGCAATTTTGTTGGACACCGCATCCCAAGCTGTCCCATCTGCGCCATCACAGCTTTAAAAAAGGTTTCAATGCTTGCCTGATTGCAATATCTAGCGTCCGCCATACTGATAACAGCCCACGACGTCAGCTGTGCTGGCGTGTTAAACTTTTTTCCGCGCATGTTCCACGCTCCATCGCGGGGATTTTCGCGAGCTCCTCCACTGTATTCGATCGTGGGTGGAGGGAGCTGGCGACCAGTTGTCTCCACCATGCGCGGCTCTACATTCAGGCCAAACGCTTTGAGCGTTGGATCGGTATCAAAAGTAGCCTCGCGAAACTTTTGTTCGATCGCACGTTTGCGCTGATCTGGTGGGGTGCACGTAAATTTAATCATATTGGCCACTTGGTTGTCCGTTGCCTTTCGAGGGCATTTCTGCCCCGCTATGACGTGACATACTTCCATTGGCAGGTAATTCTTTTTTTGAAGCGCACCCACGTGAAGACACGGTAACTTTGGGTAGCGAAGTCGCAGATTGTACGTCTTTTGGAAGTATTGAGCAACGGAGGGACGCTGTCCATCATCCATTTCAATGTACGTGTCTTGAGCACTGGTCTTGGTCAAACCATTGACACGGTAGCTGCGCTTCACTCCCGGACGATGCAAAATGCTCACCTTCACACCACGAATGGCTCTGCTAAAAGCTGAGTTTTGATGCTGTGCTAGCGATGCTGGAAGATCTCTTAAGCTAAGTGCGCTGACGAGATAATCTAGTACATCCATTTCTTCTACAAAGGCTGTAGCTGCCAAGTCCAGATTGACTACAAGTCGATTTTGAGTAGGTCGTAAGCTCTGAAAGTAGCCAAACCAGAGCTCAGCGCCTTCTCCAATTGACTTGGCTCCATTGCCACTGAACAAATTTCTTCCAACGACCGTGAATCTTTGCGAGGCTGAGTGTCGTAGCGCCACGTCCAGTGCTTGTATTGCATCATAAGGCGTATAGTTCAATTTGCCAGCAAAGAGCTCATCTAGTTGTTGCATGCGAATGGCTACAGGGTCAGCTTCCTTGACGACAGCAGAAAACTCTCTGTCTTTTTCACCGTCATCGCCAAGTTTGAGATTTTGGAACGTTTGCGTCTGGAAGGGCAGACGACGTGGCGAGTAAATATTCTTGCGCGCGTCTGACACCAACAGTACATCAGGAAATTGACGCTTTAGTTCCGCCATCAATGCTGTCATAATCTTATTTGCCAATGCTTTGGGTGGTCCATCGTTGCCAAAACTTCGGTCGACGATCATCACATCATAATGATACAAATCACCTGCCAGTCGAAAGTTTACCTTGAACAAATTTGCATAAACTTTTACAGGTTTCCCTGCCTTCCCAAAGCCTGGACGGGGCGGAAAGTGCGTGCGCACAAGCGGCTGCACAAGACTCGGCTCGTCTACGACGCGCACCTTTGCTTCCAAGTCCGAAGCGAGTGTTTGAACGCCAGAGATAGGAGTGGATGGAACCGGTGCCGGAGGTGGCACATTAGCACGTGAGGTGGGCGGTGGACCAGATGGACGGTCGGCCGCTGTAGACGCGCCACGTCCGCGTCCTCTGGCGCTTCCTTGCCCACGACCACGTCGTGGACGCCCGATCACTAGCTCAGAATCTTGATACTTGTTGCCTCGACCGGACATATTGCGGAATGAGCATTCAACCAACAGGATCTCAAAACTTCCTGCTACTTCACAGCAAGGGAGAACAAAAGTAGTATATCATGAGATACCGGTCTACTGTATGAGGTGTAGATTGGCTTTTGTGTCTAATTTCGAGATACGGCGCTTTTCGAAAAAGAATGTCGCGCAATAAACTCTAACGGGATTCAAAGTAGAATTAGGTGTTCATATGAGCACAAGTATCAAGCACTACCACCGGCATGATGAGCCAGTGTTCGCTTTGGTCATCTCTGCCCTTAAGCTGAATTTTAATTACCCATCCCAACCACTTCTAACGCCGAAAAAATCCTAGCATCTCCCTCCTAATTTGAGCTTAACTACTTAATGCAACTTTCTTCAATGAACCTGTACATTGATCGCAAAAAGGTACTGGCCATGAGTGACCTTGTCGCGAGGGCTCCAAGGTCTTGTCGACGAGCGTACCATGCGCCTTTAAATCGTTAATACTCGTGACAAAAGCTGCAAAGGCTATCCGAAACAGAATATATCCTAAATTTTAGCGTTGACTTCGTTGGTAGATATGATACTCACCCGGTTGTATCACATTAAGGTTTGTCGTTCACCCGATTATTTCTACCAGATGATGACAATACGCAACACTTTTTAGCTCTGGAAGAAACGCATATCATTTTTGCAGAGCTGATATAGTGGACCATGTTCCCCATGTTTGGTCCCTTCAAGTCGGTGAAGTATACATTCCTGATAGATGGATCTGGCATTCAAATTTAAGGCAATTACATAGATGACTAACGCTCCCAGCAATTTTTTGGGACAAATTGAATTAAATATGGCACAACGCGCCACGGCATCGTTGGGACGCATAATTTACGTCGCACTCAAAGAAATCTGATGTTTTGAATTGTACACATCTTGATGTATCATACTTGGTATTCTTTGCGGATGAGGGTCATGAGACTTTAAAGGAAAAATTCTTGGTAATTGCTTTACACATCATGCATGACAATAGGTAAGTATTGGTCTTGACAGATCTAATCTATGATAGATGTCATTTTTAATCGAGAGCGTAAGCTAAGCACTTAGGTACATCAAGGATCCTAGTTCTCGCTTCATTGTGAAACGAACAAACTCATTTTCTGTGGGTCAGTGTAGCGCGCGCCTGTTAAGTCATAGCTTCCCCTTTGTAAGATACGCAGCAGGGGGTTAAGACAAGTGCTACCAGATGCGACGGAGTCGCTGCGCACCTCGCGCGCACACAAAGCGGCATCAGGTGTAACGAGGCTGCTGCGCACAAGAAGTGGTACTAGATGATTCGGGATCGCTGCGAGAGAAAAGTTTGACTTTAATGAGCCCACTTTAAGCGAGCGCACAGAGAAGGAGGAGTCTTTCAACGTCTATTTTAAATAAACGTTTAACTATGCTCACTAACAAACTTTGCTTGCCATAAATCCCATAATTTTCTTGACGGAGTCACTGCACGAACCACAGTGTGCTAAGTTAATTACTTCGCCACTTTCACATTACAGTGCCTCTTCCCACGTGCATACTTGCATACGCTTTTTCGTGTAGCTAAAGAAGCATCTAAGAGATGCGAGGCTTCGCGGGGTGACAATCGTATGCCAGCTAGCGGTCATGGTGAGGATGGTCGTAGCGACTCGCCGAAATTTAATCTAACAATCCGCTCCCATCGGGTGAAAAATACGGCTCAACAGCTCGTTTTGCCTTTCCTCTCCATGGATGTTGCACTTCATGTCCGTTCCTTATAGCAAGGTGCTCTGTCACCACGTCGAAGTTTTCTTGATGGCGTCCAACTCGTCACCAATGAGCTAGACCTGGCTCAGTGAGCCCAGCTAGTGCGTTGATAGTCGCTCTGCAAATAATTTCTGACCCAACACATCACGATTTATCAGGTAAAATGTCTACCCTTGGAGAAGCAGCATTCAAGTAAATCTGCACTCCCCCTGAGAGCTGCACCTCGAGTGTTCTCTGCGTGCTGACGAAAGCACCGATAGTATTACACAGTATTTGCGCACTGGGTGTGTATGACGCATCTTCTTACCCGTCGGACAGCTCTATTCGCCAAATTCAGCAAGGTTGACGTGTGACCAGGCGTTCTTTATGCTTGTCTTCGCAGATGACGAATCACTACGTTGACGTCGAGGAGAAAGCTCATCTTCTCATGTCGTGCTGTTATTGGCTCTGCTTGTTTCCACGAGAATGCTATCACAATAACCCACCGATATCAGTATTGAACTCTCTTGCTAGTAGGAAGCGCGCAGCTCTGGGCCATACTGCATTTTCTCACGAGAGAAAACAAATGAGACTTCACCAGGTATTAAGAAGCAATGGCGCCGGGGCAAATTTGCCGAATGAAGCTCATTAGTTTTCGGAGAAAGTGATCTTTTCCACTTCACCAAATACTGGTAACAGAGGACCCACCGGCTCTCCGACCGTTTCACATGGACGAAGGTCAACATTGCTCATCGAGAGTACCGACGAATTGAGAGTCTTAACGTGCGACTGTTACTGACATGGACCTGTGATGATGTGTTTTTTATAAAACGCCATCTCACTTAGTGATGTAGGACGCCCCTAGCGATCCAGAGCCGTATCGATACCCCATAACAAAGATTAGCTCATTTACAATGATTCGTTAAGGTGGTACCCGTCTTCTCAGAGCACATACCATTTGACTGTTACGTAAGAGTGCGATGAAGGTACAACTCGGATGATCCCATGTAACACGCTATAGCCGTTTAAAATGGTAAGCCTGTTCGCTCGACCGTATAATGTCTGATATATCGCAGTCGCACCTCAATTTTATTGATTGCACATAATGCATGTTTAGGTAGCGTACAACCACGAAAAATAAATGCCCAAGCCCTTTTTTATGATTTTTTGCCTACTTTTGGAGCTGGCAAGTAGCTTCACATTCTGGCTTTCTGTTATAACGTCGCGTACTCGGCGCATACAGCTCAATGTCCTTGTTATAAAAACATTGATTTGCCACAAAGTGTAGCCTGACCGATGTCGGCGAGTCCACAGCTCCCTCGCTATGACTGTCGAGATGTCAACAAATCACGGGAGTTAGACAGACCATTCACTAAATGAGGTAAAGCATGCACTGCATCTTTAGAGCAAAACCAATGAGAGAAATCATCCCACCCCTCCGCACAAAGCATAGGAGAAACTCCGCCGCTATGCGATTGACTCGTTCCGTCTAGCTTCTGTTTGCGTAATGACATATCCAATTTGGTGCCCAGCACCTTGGATACATCTGCCAAAAATATGCTGTAAAGCAAATACAATGGCTATTAATGTCGATGCAATGGCTATGCGAGCGGAAAACGTTTTTTTAGGAACAGCTTGACTAAAACTACATCAGCAACGGAATCGCTGACAGCAGCAGAGAAGCTATGATTCTCAGGCATTCCATCGTTCAAGCGCTTTCTCGAATACCAAAAAAGTCCAAAATTACAGATTGCCAACATTCTACCGGAACCGACAGGTTGGTCGAAAACGCATGGGGCGAAAGTTTAAACCATTATTTGCACTTGCGCATGAAAGTGCTTTTCACCTAAACATATTCATATTTAGTACATAGCGCCGTTGAATAGTGTTTTTTTCTTTTGATTAGATTACACCTTGTGCTTCGTCCAGTATTCTATACATGGGATCTTCATGAAAAAGACCACGTGTAGAGTCACAGCAAGCCTCGGTATTAGAATAAAAGTGCAAACGTGCTAGCGAACGCTTCGATAAAGCTGAATTTGAGCTCATGAACCTACTTTCTGGAAAAGAAACACGAATCGCGACCAGCTCTCACATCATCAGCTGGCAAAGTCACAATTGTGACATGTGACACTTCACAGTTCGAACGACACAAAAGTGCATTCCCACCACAATTCTGTAACCTACTTGGAAGGTATCATTGGCATGAAAAGATAACCATTATTTAGTCTGTGCGCAACAGCGCATGATTTGAATAGATCACAATTGGCTTAACCGCAAGTAGGAGTACCCCCATCATAACAAGAGGATACTTTATCGAAAGCAGCTCCTTGGTATAAGATTTATTGTTTTTAACTTTAAGTCGCCCAGACTCAAACGCGATTGGTCGTTCTTGCTGTTTAGAATTAGACATGGCATGTAGCAAATGCTTCTGTATCAGAAACGGTAAAATTGGCCGATCCGGATTCGGAAAGCGCACAGTAGACTATCTCTCACAGCCTTAAATACAGTCTCAGCTACCACAGACCAGCACTATTTACACATGTTTTAGGGACAATGGTAAGGGGTCGGGAAATCGCGGCAAATTTCGCTATACGTATGCATTTGTACTGGCCGATGTTACCATGACCTTCAATTTCGCGGGATTCTAGCCGCAGGCCTTGCTTCTTAGCGATGCATTCCAATGCGACAGCCACTTGACTATATTGGCGAATAGCTAATCATAATGTATACACACCATCACCGCTCGCAAGTGTTTGATGCAGCTCACCACGTCCAAGGTCTCATGCTTTGCGACTACGGACGAATGCATCCTCGAAGCGGATCTGCGCTCAGGCACAACACACCTTGATAAGCTGCGTCACCAGACAAATGAACGTCAATGGTGCGTGATACAGCCTACTGGGCACTTTTAAAGCATCCCGCTCGAACTTATCATTGCAACAGGAAGGATGTAACTAACTGTTTATTCTACGCAACAACTAGATAATGAGCAGCGGCCGATCACGCTATTTTGGAGCACATCTGTCTAGAAACCTTGCGTCTGCACCGGACGCTGTGCACAAATCACCCTTGCCGTTAGCCTTTCTGACACACTGCCGATGCAAATTAAGAGTAATTTTATTTTATGCTTTGCATGGAGAAAACATTCCTCGACGTCGATTTGTTTCGTTGCTGAGGGTCAATTTTTCTGACGCAAAGCTTGGTTCCATAAACCGGGTAAATTCATGACATAGATTCCGATACAGGGTGATACTCGTTGTGGATTTCCCTTCATCACGTCATTTTAACTGAAGCTATGGATAGGAGAATTTAAAAAGTAAGGATAGCTGCCTCACTTCTCAGTGCTCTGCTCAAATATTCTCATTGACACATTCACGCATTACGAGCTATATCCTCAGCTCTTCATTTTGTACCAACTGAACCATTTCGGTGGCTTCACTTCTTGCAAGTCTTTGTAAACATGCATACGTAATTTTTAAAGCTCAATTAGAGCTGCAGTCTGAGGCAGTGAGGCGAGACTTACAATCAAAGCTGACTTGGCTGCTCCAAACATAAGTGAACGATCTTTCTAGCTGCAAGTTTATTGCTCCACACAGCTGGCACACCACACGGTAGTGCTGACTCAGCCGTACCGTTTCATCGTGACAAGAATGGATAACCCATCCGAGCTTCAGGTTCCTGGCACTTACACTTGCGCTTGACAGTTTCCCTTCAGCTCCATTGGCTCTGATACAAGAGGCTGCGACACCCAATCGTTTCCGACCCTGGCTCAGAAGGCTTAATTCTGGCTATTTTTAAAATCATAAACCAGATACACCCTAAGCACCACTTCTTGTTAAACATAGATGTAGCACGGAGACCGCAATATGCAACCGCTTCTCTCTATTTCATCCCAAAACTACAACTCACTGTTGCTTCTTCCTGTCGGATTCTACTTCATGCACTTGGCAACATCATGGCAAGACTATTTGAATAGTGCATGAGTTATTGTAGTATTGTGGCCACGCCTGAAACAGTTCAGACTTTTGTCAGCGGTGTGTTTATGAAACACCAAGGCACTAAAAGAGGAGTGCATGGCGCCTCAGTCAACCAGTCCTTGGATGACGATATATCTCGAATCCAAATCTTGGGCTAAAACGAGACAGTGTTTTACGCTGACATAGCTCGCAAACTTCAATTGAAAGTTCAACATAATCCTTATCACTTTTGCCATCATCACTTTCACAGGACGCGCGGATACTGTATCCTATTCGGCATCTTCAAAACTACCAACAAGACCCACAGACGATAATTTTATTTTGTAAGAGCTTCGTCAGCGACCTTGCCCGACCCCTGTACATTTCAGCTGCTAGCAAAGGAGCACGCGAGGTGCATGTGTTTTGCAATACTACTTGTAATACATCTGCAATTACTGTGGAGTTGCTCTGCAACTAGGAGAACACCTTCTCCTCATTATTATGGATGTTGTGCGTCGCCCCCGACGCTTCGTAGAGCTTTTGCTCCAGCTATACCTTGCTGCTTTTGCGACACAGAGGTTATTTTTTACCCGCATATAATGCAACACCTACCGTTTTCGTAAAAGAGTGCAGGTGGAAGCTGTAGATCTTGGTATGCATACCACCTGTTTGGAGACCTATCATGAAAAAGCATTCTACTACTGCCTTTGAAATAGGGCCTGCTGCCATTGCGTAAATAGAAGTCTGAAGCCGTTGGACGTAGTGTGCGAGATATCGCCAATCTTGACGGGTGCACACGAAGCTGGAATGCACCATATACGCCGTTTTAGACGACGCGTACTCCTCACTTTGAACTTTTCCATGTTAAGAATGCCCTTCCGCAGATTTACCAAAGGAGCTCCTGTTTTAGCGTGACCTCCTAGCTTGAAAACCGTAAGCTATTGACGCTGTTGCTACATCTGGAGCATGAGCGACTTCATCGTCTTATCAGCTTTTACCATTTGGGAGAGAATTCCCCATCTCTACCCCCGGAGGGTTGACGCTTGATATTAGTAGCCTTACCGTGGAAGCCAGTTGCGCTTCCACCAACATCTTGTTGAGGCCTTTCGATAGATGTCTCACGAGCGCAATCCTGTAGCTCGCGAGCACCTCCTGGTGGTCAAACACCGCTTCCGGCTCTTGCACCGTCAAGTAAACACATAGCTTATTAAAGGCTGTCCCATTGTGTCTAGTACAATTAATCGAAGAACTCGCGTTTCAATTTTGCAAGAAATACAGATTAAGTCGCAGGATTTTACTGTATGTGCAATGGGATTGCCGTGTCACTTGCACAGTGGAAGCTTTAACCAAAGAGCTCGTACATACAATGGCAGTCGTTGGGGCCGTCTACCATAGCTAGGGCGGAATCGAGGGCTTCCAAAGTGATAATATACTATCCAAGAGTAGAATGTATGTAGAATTGATTTCACGTATATCACAGACCTTTTCCTTTACCAAAGTATTGATACTTCTGGATACTTCTGTTGAAATGATAATCTCGTAATCGGTGTATATACACAAAAGTACAGCATTTGCCGTTTTGTAAATATTAATCGCCGTATGAGACATTTGTCAAGCACTCCTTGGATAGATACTAATCTTTTTTTAAAGTTTGTAACATCTATTCGCGAACAATCAAAAATATATGTAAACATAAATTCGCATGAATCTGGGAGTCGAATGAGACAGACAGACTTTTCTTACTAGATTCCTTTCTTATGTGGCAGTGTATACAAGGGTGACGACAGACTCATCAGCGACCCATTCGCTTTCTATGCACCTATAGGTATCGTAATCAAAGAGCGATGTAGACTGTTCAGTGAGTGTAATTATTCCACCTACAGTAGCCTCTCGACAGATACCGGCAGCTTATAATATAGATATTTATGCGATCCAAAAGCAGTGGCTCGATGGCTGTACTTACTCCACTGATGACCAGCCCTATATCTCTTAATTCAGTTCGGTCGTGTCCGATGCATCGACGAATCAAACACGAATCACCTTGTCTCGAATCCTCGTCGTGACTACTTAAGTACAGTAAGGTTACAGTACAAGTACAGCTCTTGATTGATAGCATCTTGTCACGAGAGTGCAACTGCTAGGGTGGACTTTACGGGAATCAAGCAGCTGGCTGGTGGGACGGGAGGAAGTATATGGTCTAATGTTCTTAAGAATAAGAATAATTAGGATTTAAAACTAAGCCGATCATACGTTTGGCAGCTTTGTGTCTTGCTCATGTAAAGTCTACTTAAGATTGTGGCTTATTCGTCGCATCAAACGCTTGACAACGTATTGAGTCACAGGATATTCTGTAAATCACACCTGCTTTTCAAATTTCTCACAGTCCATCGACGCAAGATCGACTTAGCCTTTTCACACAGATAGAAAATGGACCGTCGAAAACCATTACCTTTTAGCAAATACGAGGTTATTAGATTCTGAAAGATGCAGTGATGGAGATGTGTCGCAGATCCCGGCAGTATTTTTATCGGGAGCCCGACGGGCATGCAGCTAAATGAGTAAAGCTGCACAATTTGTTTCATTCCACAATTTGCAACGTACACCTCCAATCTCCAAACCTCTCATGCATCTCTATCACTTCTTCTTGGCGACCATGGTCATCCTGGTGATGAGTACTGAAGTCTTCACTGAAAAAACTATGCAAACAAGTTCGAATGTCAATCAGCTTCGTACTACGGAGCCTGCAGCATCTGATGATGCCGCGACCAGCAACGAAGAGCGCCATTACACTATAGCTGTACCTCCGAACATTGTACAATCAAAAGCAGCCAAAGAATTTACGACAGTCACCACCTACGACAATAATGGCTTATTGCAACGCGTTGTCAAATGGATAGACACTTGGTTCATAAATTTCATGTCGTAATTCATTGGTATCAGATATTTCATTAATATAGCTGTTTGATTGATGTCACGCTTTGTAGCCTTGTTGATCTTCGCACGAAGAGTGCTTGTATGTCATCAGGTTTAACGTTATTAGGAGCCCGGAGGTTTCCTTGTTCAACGGCTTGTTAAGCTTTCGCTATCCCACGAAAGCAACGAAAGTCGGACAAGGCGTAATGGAGAAGACGGATTGGACAACTTCAGATCGTGTGCGACAGACTTGAAATAGTGATTGGTGGAACGCGGACATCTGATTTGATAGCTTTTGGCACCCGTTAAGCTCATTCAAATGTATTGTTTCGATAAATTGAGCTCATGAGCTCCTGTAAGCTTAAGCTCATGGAAGGATCACAAACTACTTTTATAAACTTAAGCTTATGCTATATATCCTGATAGCTAAACATATATCCACTTGGACTCATTTGCAAGTTATCGGTGCCAGTCCTGAATGCTCTCGAAAACTACTGACAGTGGCCTTTCAAAGGCACAGTAATCGCACAAGCACCCTGGAACTTTACAGCCGGTTAGTCCCGTCCAAAAAATGTACTTTTGAGAATAAAATACCAAAAGTTTCTTGCTAGCAATACTTTATGGACAGAATAGCTGTACACATGCTTCTTTGCTATGCGTGTTTCCTTGCAACTAATCACGTGCTTCTTTTCGGCTACATCATACCGAGCTTACTGTAGAGCGATATTTTAGTTCAATGACTCAATACGTCGTGTGATTGTTTGATGCGACGAAGATTTGGTTAGATTATACTATGCAAGACACAAGACTACCAAGATTTTGGTATGTTTCGCTCAGTAATAACTTTGAAATTCTCTTTAATACACAGCCATACCTCCTACGCGAGCCAGCTGCTTTATTCCCGTCAGGTCCACCTTGGATCATATTGGCAGCTAAGATGCTTATCGAAATTGTTGACGTACGCCTACAATCAATAAAAGCTTACTGTCTAAAGCAGTAAGGAACGAGGAAGCCACCAAACAAGTTCAATTCGCATGAGACATGGGGAAACTCACGTGTTTCGATCAGGCCTCAGCAGTAAATAAAGGACATAATGGAACATAACTGGGTTCCAGACTCGAACAGAACTTTGCTAGGATGATACGGTAAAAGGATAGTGAATATCGAGACCATAGAGTGGAACTTTCTTTCTCACTCTTGAGTCACCCACCGCTTGCAAAGTGTTTTAAAGCCTCAATAGAATACTGAAAATCATGCCAATGAATTCATCAAACATTAACGGAAATGCTGTCAGTTGGTATACTAACTGTAGATAATACAACGAAGCCTACTGTAGACTGCAGCTTTATGTTTTACGTCTTAAGCGATACGGGCAATCGCTGGAGGTGCACAAAAGCGACAAAAGGATTACGAAAAGATTTGTAGTTCTTTGATTACGAAATCGCCATCGAAAGCTATTTGATTATTTTCTGCGAATCATCAAAAAATCTCATCACTCATATGAACATATGCAATGACGTTGCGTGCATCGATGGCGACTTGGTCGTCGACGCTTCCATTGTCACCCTGCACGCATTGCCACATCCAGATAAGGACTCGGTCTGTCTCATTCGAATCCTAGATTCACGAAACTTCTACAATTGTCAAAAGATTGAGGATATATTTATCCATCAAAATTTATTATGACCTTCTTGACAGCTGCGCAGTCGATGATCAACTGATTAGCGGCACAGACGTTCAAAAGGCAGGCAGATAGATATTGAGTTATTGACTGCTATCAAGCACTACCCTATGAATCCTGATGAATCATGTCAGAAAAATATTGTTTACCCGACATCAGTATCAGAAGAAATGTTAATCCCTGTTATTGTGGTGAGAGGCAAATACGTAATGATCGAATCAGTAGATGTGAAGGTGAGCATTACTGTAAGAAATAGCGGTAAGCACTCATCAGATGTGAGTGACTGTCAAGACATCTAATCGGGTAAAGATGGAACAATTATTGTGCACACATATCAAGCTTCCCTATGATTGCGCAAACATAATATTGAAATGTTTCAGTACAATCTTGTGTAATTGTAAATATTCAGAGGTACCAAAGTATCGGTAATACTAAGGACGATGGAACTTTGTGAAGCAGACAGAGAGAGGGACTATAAGAGTCACGTCGTGATAATATGAAAATTCATTTTATTAAAGTTTTTGGAGCATACTTACATTATCAGGTTAGATGGAGGTTATCCTCAATAGATACGTCACATTCGATATTCAATTGCAGTCATTGTCATACAGTACAAATGTAGGAAATTTAGCAAAACGTGTAAACTCAAAGTTAAGTGTCAGTCTCGATAGAATACATGTACTCTTGAAATAGCAGAACAACTAGCAGCGTTTGTTGTCTCAGAGGTCTACGGCCCGCTCCATTTAAAATACACTAGCTCAACTTATGTACGTTCTTCAACGTATACTCTAAGAGTCAAAGCTTCTTCTGTACAAGGTGTCCGACAACCCGTTGCAAAAGCTAATGTAATGCATAGCGTGGGGCTAGTATATTGAAGATGGAAACATGCGGTACGTTATCGTATCGCTGATAGTATGTATACGACGTAATGAAATTACGGGCATGATGACGATTGACGATCACGGTCGCATTGACAAGTAATCATTTACATTTTCAATAACCGCAGCTTAAAGCAAGGCGCTACCACTTGCCTTTTTAATAACCGCAGCTTAATGCAATGCGCTACCACATGGCAAAGCTACAAGTAGCGCCACATATGCGTACGCAGCTCTCAGAGATTGAGTATGCGGTGGCCCAAGGGAACCGAGTGGTACGGCTACGTGTCACTACAACTAGCTGGTCGATGCGTGGTGGTTTCAGTCCCCCACGCTTGCAAACGTCATGGCCGCTGCATCAGACAATCTGGAGCACGAATACACTGCGTCCCATTCGACGAAGCTGTTTACGGCAAAAAAGACGCTCAAGTTAACCTGGCCTGTGCATTATCTCTTTTTGGTGGCAGTTTGCAATACGTGTGGCTGTGCCAACGCGCACATGCTCGACAACATTGTACACTATGCGTTAAGTGAGCTGTATGACCAAGTACGATAGAAACCGAGTCGTCTATCCAGATCAAGCTGAAAAGCTAGCACAATTTTTGTACAATGGGTTGAACCGAAGTACAGCCTCGTTTGGCTCAAAAGTTGTATTACATACTATTTAGACGTTTGGATATATAAAGGTTGGACACATTTGGCCCCCTGATAAAGGACAAATTTAGAAGGGGGTCGGCAACAAATGATTTTGGTAAGATAGTGCCAGGCCCAGGACGTTGTCAACTATACGCTGACTGCACAAGACAACGCGGTCCAGGACCATTTGTGGACTTCGAGCAGGGGGACAAACAGACACCTCGTCAACGATAAGACGTTTCTTGATGATGCATGAGTGTGTGAATACCAATGCGTTATTGTTGACGGTAAAACGCTACGACGCATATCTAATGCTTCACGTGATGGCATGTGAAATAGCAAGCGTTATCCGGTTGGCTGAAGTCTATTCTACGCCATTGCTGACTTGCAATATCGTGTTGTATGACAAGCTGAGCAGAAAGGATTGAGGCATACGACAACGTTAGCCAGCGAGCGCATCACCCTCAAGACCGGTGAACTTGTATTCGACGTGGTAACTTAAAAGCGCAAGATGCAATAATCGATAGGGGAATGGTGGCTCGTCCAATGAACTCTCTCCAACGCTCCGGTCATCTCGCTTACGACACTATTGAGATGATGGCGCGCGAGCCTAGATCTAGCATATGGCTGATAGGTGATCGGCAGATGACGTATGTCATGTTCGCTAAGGCGAAGCAGACGAAGAACGTGGAGTTCAAGAAGAACTCAGGCTGCTTTCACCCACTGATTGACCTGGACAGGTAATCTGTTCAGATCTGAAAGGAATTTGACCCCGAAAGATCGAATGGTTAAACTACAAGAGCAAATTTATGTGACGTGTTTCTTGCGTGCACCAAGGATCAAGCAGCAAGACGTTAGAGCAATATTGTGTTTTGGGAAAAGCGCTTTGACTGTCGGGTCCATGTGCTTCGTTCAGACTAACGGTAGTGGTGAGTACAAGAATTAGGACTTACATTCAAGTCGACCGGCGTGGCAAGACAGGTGAACGAGGCCCCAAAACAAGCTTCAAATGACACAGCCGCAAGAATGCTTTGAACGGTGTTTAGCATGGCGCGCTCAATGATATTTGCGAGAAATCTAACCACTTGTTTTGGGGTAACGTGATCGAGTACTCGGTGTTTATTTTGAATCGCAGCTGTACAAGCTCGAACATCAAGCATGCGTCGCCAATCGAGACCCTGACAAAGCAAGCCTCTGACTGCGCGAAATTGATACGTTCGGCTCAAAGTGTACAGTATACCGAGACATGAAAATGATTCCATTCTCGCATAGGTTGAAGTGATTATCGGGCGCAGCGATGAGACCAAAGGATACATTCCGAAGAATAACGTTTTCATTGCGACGCAACATGTCAGATAATATACAGACTTTCCAGAGGCGCAGTTTACTCAGCGCCAGCTCATTCTTAACCCAGGTGATAGCGCCAATGATTTTTTGGCGATGCGCGGTCATTAAATAGACACCACGGCACTGCGAATACGTCACTTGGGTATTCACGAGAATAAAATCACTATCGACTAACGACTTGGATTGATGTCGAAACCTCTCGGAGTTCAAGCGAAGGCTATTGACACGCGTGCATTTGCCATAAATCAAGAGAAGGCGATCGGTGATACTCTCCGGAAGCACGAACAGAAGTTGGTTAACCCATCACATCTTTCAATCAATGATGACTGTTACAATGAAGCCAGGCTGCACAGCATCCTGCTCACAAAGATTGTAGACTCTGGGAAGCCAACAATTAAGTCAATTCAGTCCCGCGTTGGAAGCCTACTGTCGGTAACTTGGTGTACCACAACCAGACATCACATTTGTGTTGCACAAGGCAGTATGATAAATTTTTGAGCTCCGAGAGCAAGACTAAAAACCCACAAAGACCTCGCACACAGCAAAGTCTTTCAATTCGGGATGCGCACCAGTTTGAAAGGCAATCTTGCGCTTACACCAAAGTCCTACAGCTTTGCTGCAGATAAGGGCGGCGGAAAGTCACTTACTTGTACGATGGTGCTACTCAACGTTATGCCTGTGAGCTGGGCCACAAAGACGCAAGGAGGTTTTTCACTCACGACAATGGCGGTCGAGGCTATAGCAGCGTCGGAAACGGCTCGAGCGCCTCCTTGGAATAAAAGAGTTGCTGACGGAAGTGAGAATAGCATTGACTATTCCCATTAAGATGCGTGTGAGCAATCAACCTGCTACTTTTCCGATTAAAGGTAAAGCTTCGTCAATCAGGGCAAAACACTTCAATGTGCGCCTCATGATTGTTAAAGACTTTGCCCGTCGTGGTATCCTAGAGTTGCTCAAAGTTCAGTTCGAGCTGCTCATGCACGCGAACCTACTGAACAAGGGACCACCGATCTGCTGTAACTAGTGAATTCGCGATAGCTGAGAACTCTATGACGTGATCGCGAGGAAGATTATTGAAAATAAAAAGCATACAGTATCATGACAGTCGGCAATTACGGACGCATTGAGATCAGGTCATTAGTGGAAGCCAACTAGTGAGCGAAATGAATATAAGAGAAAATGAACTTCTAGAAAGACAGGCCCTGCGGTTGTAAATTAATGACCAAAAGTATATTTGGGATTCGATTGACCACCTACTGCGTACACCACATTTCAATATATATGCAGCCGCGTTTTTTTTCTTATCTTTAGTCCCTGGTTGTCTAATTTACTTTTACACCATAATAAGTACTACAAATACATTCTTAATTTTCTTGAAAAGCTCACAATTTGGTAATAAATATATCCCAACTGAGCAAAGTCATCAAGCAGGCACTACGGGCGCCAATACTTTTCGATTGGACTGAACGAGGGCAGGAAATCCTTTGCAAGCCTATGCGAATTATTTACTCGCGAACATTCGACTAACAGGCGATAGGAATCATCATGATGTGATAAAACGATGAACCACTCAAAACTTTAGCAGGCAGCATTGATATTGGAGCTTTTGGTGTTTGATGCGCGTCAAAATTTTCACTCGCTATGTCGCCTGCCATTCCAGATGCAAGCGTTTACGAGTTTGAAGCTCGTAATTCTAGAAAACTCGACGAGCTCTTTGCTGAGTCAAATAGAATAGGCGCTGAGCTTTGGTTTGGCTACTTTCAAAAGCTTGCGAACTTTTCAAAATGGACTGGTAGTTAACTTGGATGTGGCAGCTGATTGTGCTTGATATGTCGTCAGCGTACTAAGTCTGAGTAGCTTAAGATATCGTTAAGCATAACTAGCATAGCATCCGCATTCTGTTTTTATCAAAGATATGTATGGTAAGGAGGTTATCATTTCATATTGAACATGATGGTAGGTAGTAGCTAGCTACCTTTTGTTGTTCAGGACTTTCAAATGACGTACAATTGACCTTTTCGCTACCTCAAAGCTACCGTGTCTACAATTTGGAAAAACAAATACATTTCAATGGAAGTATGTCACGCCAGAGTTGACTCGATGGGCACTGAACAAATCAGCGGCACTCCACTTGGTCGCGAGAGATCAAGTCGGACACGTTATCAGAGCTGATGTTGTAAGTATGCTAAGTATTGCATTCAGACGAGCATCGTAACCCTCTTTATAGATCAAAAAGCGGTATTCACTGATAGTGCTTTTAGTTCTGGTAGCCTTGTTTCAGGCTGTGGTAAAGACACTTTCTCCATAGGACTCCAACTAGAGTGCTAACAGCACTACGATGAAGATAAAGTGAATGAATGACGTAATTAGTGAACCATGTTAGAAATGACAAGAAACATTAAGGTCATATAGATCTCGTACAATCGAGAACCGAGTCGTTATGATGAGCCATAAAGAATCAGCACATGCTGTCAAATAGATTAGACTTTGTAGTTGATAATGTTTGATACTCCATACAAATGATGCATCATCGACTCGACTATGAGGTCTCGTAGCTTCTTGTGCTTCAATATGTCTTGGATGAAGGCGGATCAGCACAAACACTTTTCTTTAATCCTATCGTTATCAAGGGAGAAATCTAAAGTCAGTACATGCTTATGAAAGCCGGTTTTAATCCCGGGGTATGGGTGTACTTGACACCTTGACAGACGCTACCAACGAATCAGCAAACATCGTGCCTTCAAAACTATTGTTGCACTACTATTCGATGGTAGGTAGCGTGATAATTCGATCACTACTGCTCTCTGTCTTTTTGAACAAAGCTACCAATCTTAATTATTAATTCATTCGATTTATAAGTGAGCAATTATCGTGAAAACTAAGTATAATTCAGAGAAGGTGTTCTGCCCAACTTACTGCGCGTTGCAATAGGCCATTGTTGTTGTAGGTGGTGACGGTGTTAAATTCTTCGCTTGCTCCCCTTGGCACGATGCTCGGAGGTACAACAATTGCGACATTGCGCTCTTCTTCATTAGTTGTGTCGTCATGAGATACTGCAGGCTTGAGAGTACGAAGATGACCGACAGTCGAACTTGTCTGCTTTGATGCATCCGTAAAGACTTGAGTGCTTGTCATGAGGACAATTGTAATTGCCACGATGAATTGATTGAGATGCATGAGAATCGGTGTATTGAGTAGTACGATGCGAATTGTAGAATGAATCGATATGTGCAATTCCATACATGTAGCCGCCGTCTAGCCAGTCAGAATTCATCCGACTGTCACAGCCATGTCAGCCCAAGGAGATTCACTAAAACTCTTTTAAAATCCATGACTGCTTTATGTACAACGTATTAAGCCAGATCTTAAAAAACAATTTGCCAAACGTTGGTACTTCGAATTAGTTTGGACTTGTTTGATTGCATCCTAATTTGCTGATTGTATATTTAGAGAAGATAGAAGCAATTCGTGACATTGATTTAAGCCACAGCGAGTTCTTTTTGATACCTAATTTTGTATTACACTTGATTGCGCAAGTAAAAAGAGCGAGAACCAAGTAATCTGGCTATGGCGCATAATTATGAAGCCAATAGCTCTTGCTATTATAAGAAATGCGGTACTTGTGATATTTAATTCTACAAGTATCACTTGGAGGTGAAGATTATTATATGACGATCTCTACCGCTTGCAGAAATGCTATAACTGCATGCCACTGTCGTGCGCAATCTTTAATCGAAGATTATAAATACTGGTCTGTGCGTATTTATTAAGATCGGCACAATCAATTTCTCTGGATATATATCAATCAAGCGAACGTTATGAATCTTCATTGATAGCAACCTGTAAAGCCAGTGTTTTTGGAAGCGGCGCTTCTTAAATAGTGATATTTAATGATGTGTAACTTATCTTTGCATGAAATTAAGACATGTTTTGAGGCATGCTGATTGTAGCGGGTTGCTTTATCACTTTGCTGGAGGAAGTGCTCGTGACCAATTAGTCATGCTATAAATTCGCCTTGACATATACTCTTTTGAGTTTGTATGATAAATTTCAAAATTTTCCAGGATAAAGATCCGGCTGATGGATTAGGCGATAATTTTTCGCTCGAGGTTCTTACCTCACACGACAGGTAAGTCAACGACAACTTGACAGATTTTTGTTGTCAATGCACCTAGCATCACCATGTGATACCGTCTGATAGATGGTTTTTGTACAAGACAATTGCTGTTGGTGATCCACAGAAGGAAAGAATTAGCACTTGAGGACAATATCGCTGAAAAGCTCCTAAGCCTTTTGCACTATGATACTTGTATAAATCCCTTACATGAGCATGGAAAATACTGCGTAGCCTTAAGTGTCGACAAGATTACGTACATGTTTACATTTATGTCTTAATGATGCGGGCAGTACTGGGCGCACGTGGACTTAGCAAAAAAGGAAAGACAATCTCAGTATCATATAGTGACGCAGGGTGCATCGACAGTGAACCTATCCTTCCTGACACTGTCGCATGACAGTAGAACTGCGAACAAAAGTTGGTGTATGATGAGACGAGTCTGAATATCTACGAAATACTTGTTGATGGTAGAAATTTCTGATCCAACAGCTGAAGGTTTATGTTCTTGCGCATTTAATAATGTCGTCGCATGTAATACCGACAAAGTTTGATGGATGGTCAACAATCAATTGACAACTGCGCCATTGATGGCGAAACTTACGTATGTCGATGTGAAAACATTGGGTACAATCCTTGCGTACAGATATTTAGAGTTCTACAGAAACACATGATTATATCACGTACTGTCATACTTAATCTCGAATCTACCACATATTTAGTAATGTATTGCATACTTTTAAACGCCTAGCAATACTCTCAACAATTACTGTAACGTTAAGTTCTACAGAGCAATAGTTCACTTATGTACTTTTGTCGACTTCATTGTGAAAATTTTGACAGCCCTGTTACTCCTTCGAGAATATTTGACTCAAGCACGTCGACTTTACCAATCATGGTACTATGGCAAACATGTTTGCCACTATGATTAGCTCTGTGCAATTCTTCAAACTTACTGACAGACATAGCGACAAAATCGTGAAAGCTGTAAGAATGCACACATTACCGTAAAAATGATAATCTACTAACCTAATTTTCAAGCGTGTCGCTATATTGATATTCCGGTACTCGGAAACTTCAAAATTACACCAAGTATGATGTAAATCTTGTACAATTGTACCATATCGGAGTTTTTGTGGTGTCTTAGCAAGACACCACAATGCCTGAAGTCTCACTCCAGCTGCTGCAATAAAACGTGCTGCCTCTACTTCGCATCAATGCACCAGAAGTTCGCTCTTGTGCACCAAACTAATTGATCAATACGACCCCGCCAAACGCGCAGTCTTCGTGAAAGACATGCTTTCTGAAAATCTATGTAACGGGGTTACACATACCCTGGTAACAGGGGTGTGTGTGTCACACGAGATGGGCATAGTCCAAACAAGAATACGGTATGTGGCTAGGTAGCCAGTAGTTAAGCATGTATTTAGATTTTACTATATATGCTTAGAAAAATCTATACAAGCATAGATGAAAATAAATAAAAATCAGTTACGGTGTTTAAACGGAAGAGTAATTAGCCTTTAATTAAGGCAATAATTAATCTTGGAGTAAGCGGATTGCGATCTGCTAACTCGTACTTATTCTTAGTATAGAACGAAAGGTCCGTGCCCTGAATTATACTTCCTCTAAGCGCAACGCTAGGGCAGCCCCGCTTCACTATGCGTATCACCTTATAAATTTGCGATGCACCATCATCACATACAACAATTTATATCGGGGCGACGCGAGATCGCATTTGCCACAAATTAAGCCGACTCACAATTCCCTTACCCCAATGTTTGATAGAAAGCGAAGGAGCATTATCTTGTCATTCTTTGACATATATGTAGTGACGACGGTGCTGTGTCAGCCGCCCATGATTCCTATTGCTCACACGGCTCAGAGCCATGTAGGTTCATAGTTAACGTGATGATTCCATACTTCTTTGCAAGTACGTTCTTCTTCTGGATCTAGGTTCATTCAACTTCACCGCTTAAATCTGGTTAGCCTCACACATAAGGACAAATCCATGCCCATAGGTATCGTTTGGAGTAAAGCACAGACAATTGCAAACCGTACAAACGACATGAAATCCTACGTCATTCAGTCTTTTCCTCTCTCCAATGGCACTACCACGCTCAAGGTAATTCCTTACCGTTTCGTTAACAAATAAATACAGGGGACTACGAAAAACAATTGTACTTTTTTGAATAGATACACTCTGGAGACTGCATCATACGTTCCCTCTTTTTCCGTCGTATCTGAGATCTTGGCTAACTGCCTCTTCTGCCTTTTAAGCTCTACAAGTAATACCATTCTATCATTTATCATTTTCAAACAGACCTACGTCTGGTCCGGAAACTACGCAGTTTAGTGTCCGCGCCAAAAGCGCAACGGTTATCTGGTTGCGATGAATGGATGGCTCGCCGAAGCACCACCAGGACGGAAACGCGTGGCACCTAAATTTAATTAACTCATAGCTTGTGGCTTTATCGCCACACCATACCTAGGATTGTATTATCTCGAATTGAGGAACAGGGTTTCAAAATGTTTTACGTTGTCAAAGTCTTCATTCGAAAGTTTATCACAATCTTTGACAATTTGACGTGTTACCATCGAAAGAGGAGCAGATATTGTATCCTTAGCATCCTAACGCCACCGCGAACTGTC